GGGCTTTCGAAGTGACCACGGATGAGCGTCTAGCTAACGACGATGTTGAGGGTTCTTTCGTGGAGCGCATGGAAAAGCGTAGGCGCCTACGAACAGCAGCACGCGCTTCTGCGTAGTGTTCCGCCAACCTCCAGTATGGTAGAGAGGTTTTACAGTATTGACCGAACGACGTTCGGGCACGAGCGCAACGGACTGCAAACAATTACACTGGAGCAGATCCTGTTTCTTCGCCAGAACGCAGGCTACTGGGATGCAAGTGTTGTAGATAGAGCCCGCCAATAACTTACATAATGACATTATGTATGTTTTGCTTTCTTACAATGCCATTATTGATGACAGTCTTTTGCTGCCGGGGTGTCGACATTTTGTGCAACCAAGTGAACTACCAGTGAATTGATTGGATAATAAGCATGTGCAATCATATATAAGTTAATCACATTCGTTATCAAGTGACACATGCTAATACAGACCGTGTCCACCTTTTTTCCTAGCTGTCTGAAGTGGTTTCAGTATTTTAGTCACTAAAAGCTGCCGCCCGTACTTTGTCAATAGCAGCGTCACTTGTGAACCCTGCTCGTACAAGTCCAGCAACTTCATCCCAGAACACCTTACGACGACTGTACACAAATTTGTTGGCACCCCTTTCGACTGATGTAAAGTCTCGTGCTTGCTTCACTCCAGTGTATCCAAACTCGTACTCATGCCACGGTTCAAATAGATCCTTGGGTCTTTTCGAGAGTTTAACAGTAGCGCGTTGGATTCGCGGTGGGTTTAGCTCGCGTTCACCTGTGGGGTCGACTCTGCTACCATGTATTTGGCGTATCACCGGCTGCACTGCAATCCTGTTCACGCTCGCCTTTATTGTATGGAGCTCACGTTGTATCTCAGTTCGCAAACGCATCACCTCGCTCATTACCTCGCCGATGTATCGCTTAACACCAAAAAACTGCGAATGCATTGCTGCGAAGTCTTTGTGAGCAGTCGTGGTGTCTGCCACGGTAGAACTGTGCCCAGCTTCAGAGTCACAGGCAGTATTCAATAGACCGTCTAGCACTGGACAGGACTCCCTCACGACGGACTTCGAAGCGCTTCACCGTCTTAATGAGCTGGTTGACGGCCTCAGAACGAGTAGGGTTGCCTTCATGCCGGACGTTGTCCCATGGAATAGTAAGACGCGGCATAAACGACGAAATGGCTTTCTTGTACAACTCTAGAGTAGATGAGCGAGCGTGTGTTGGCTTCATGTCTTTCGTTGGTTGTTCACTTCCGTATGCACGGTGGTTCATCCATCTGCAGAGTTGCTCGGAGGTAATATTTAGCCGAGCTTGTTCACTGAAGTTCATGTCCGCGGAGTAGTTAACGCCGTCCTTGAACGACATGAACGCCACCAAGGCAGGCTTGTACCTCGACTGCTCCATTGTTATGGTAAATAAACTCAGTACGAAAAGTCACGTGCAACCCAAACCAAAACATGTGAGTTTCGTTATTGGCTTGGGTTACATTACCTAAGTCCAAATCAAACTGTGGATGCAACGGTAGTTGCAGAGAATACGGCTGCTAACGTCGCAGTATCGGCAAGATTTCTTGTCGGTGCTGTGACGAGAGCCAATCACAATCGCTAAATTCGAGAAATACAACCTCGGTTGCATTTTGACGATAATGTAATGGTACAATTATTTATTTTTCAGCAGTTCTTTCAATGCATCTACATGCCATAATCGGCGGCCCCGAACGCTATGCCACCGCCCCTCTTCGCTAGGTGCTGGAAGTACACCGGGCTTTTAGACTACCACAACTGCGTCTACGAAGAACCAGATGAAGATGATGCAATGTTTGCCGAGCTTGCGACGATGTTATCTCATCTGCACGTTCAGGACTCAATGTCCGCGGACGAGCTGCTGAACCCGCCGGACGAGAACACAGCTGCAGAAGATCCCGCAGACGAAGACTTCTGTGGAGTTGGTGACCAAGAATTGGCTGTAGATGGCTCTGAGAACGGCTCAGAAAACATGGACGAGGACGATATGGAGCGTAGTGTGTGGATTGAGGAGGACCTTGAGCCAGAAGCAATTAAAGAGCATCTCATGTGGGTCGCTAAGCTTCTAGTTCGTGCAGGTGCGACTGGCGTATCGGATAGATCGGTGAGCGGATTGCGAGAAATGCAGCGCACGCTCCGTGAAGAACTTAGAAGAAAGCAAGGCCACAAGCACCAAAAGTCTTTGCTAGATTTCTTCGGATGTACTGTACAGTTATGATTTTTCTTTAGTTAAGCACCCCAGAATAGGAATATTTGACTCCATTTTACGACTGAGGGTGAGAGGGAATAATATCTTGGGTTTGTAAGAGACTGGTCAACGGGAACCGCTAACTTATTGCTATTGAAGAGTATTCAATTTCTTGGGATTACTACCGAAGGGATCGTCTGTACCTGCCTATTCCTATTTTAAATTATTATTACAATATTATGCGGTGCTCAAAGAACGTTTTTGCAATAATTCCCCACCCGAAGGAAGTAGGTGGTAAAACCAGCACCACTGATCCTCTACTCCAAATTTAAAACCACATTATACATGAACAGAAATCTGTCTGAATAAGGAACGGGGTTTCAACTAATAACCTCGCAATTTTTATAGTCGGGAAAGATTGAGGGAGATGGGATGGGCAAGGTACTGACAAAACAATCCAGGCACTGACTTTGATTTCAATTTAAAAAAAATGGCGCATTTGGTGATCTTCCTTCGCTTCAAGCCCTACGTGCCGAACTTCATTCTTACATTTACATTCAAGTTCACTAGCCTCGCCTCACCATGAGGTTGGTCTCTCTCTAAGCAACGTCCGTGTTGAGAAGCTACCCCCGAACACCACCGCCAAGATACAGCCGCTGGATCAGGGGATTATCAATAGCATCAAACGCTCCATCTTGTCGCAAAAAATGATGTTCGCATTGGATCGCCTGGGCGAAGGCCTCGACAACCCTACAACGTCGACCAGCTAACTGCACTGCTCTGGTGCGAGGCTGCATGGTCTAAAGTTAGCGCTTCCACGATTCAGCACTGCTGGAATCACTCTGGTCTCATTCAAAAGTCGAATCTTCAATTTATTCTAACTTAATTCAATACATGCACATCGGAATCCGATGATCGGATATCATAGTCGGTTTTTAGCGAGGCATTGTCAGCTTAAGCAATCTCTTCCTTAATTTATGTCAGGCGTTCCTTATTGAGGCAGATTTCTGTATTGCATGTATGTCTTCAGATTTGGGGTGCCGCCAGTGCTATCATCACCGATATGCAGTCACAACTAATAGTATAGAGAAAATAACATCGTTTTGACGGTGCCAGGACAACAAATACGTTGGAAAGGATATCCCGTCCATAAAGCACCGCCACTACTTCGATACTGAGTCATAAGATGATGTGTGGCTTGTATTAACGGGTGCAGCTATCGAAATATTTGACGCGCATTAATAGCAATAATATGCTATGCCTCCTTGAATCAATAATACTAATATGTGGTAGAAAAGGTATCAATGCTATTTATTTGTAATACTACCTCCGCTTAGGAAATAACCCACATTTAATAACAAAAAAATGCCGTAAGAGCTCCGCCTCGTTCCTTTTCGGGGGAAGATGTGTAGAGGTTTGCTGTACGGACCTCTTGCACAAAATTGGCTATTGGCAGTAGTATCGCGCTAGTGCAAAGGGCAAGTAAATGAGAGAGGTAAGAATCTAAAGGCAACTTGCATGATCAGCATGTAGCCAGAGGCGTACATTCTCCACCAATTTAGCTCAATCTTCCCTCACGAGGTATGGGAGGCAGCTGAGGTTCATCCCACTTCACAACGCAGCGCAACATAGTATTAGTAGTATGCTCTCGCTTGAGCAGTAGAGTAGCAGGGCATCACTAATTTGAGCAAACGACGGTGCAGTTTGCCATTTTTCATGCGAGGCGCTAGATAAAGCGCAATCGATGTGTGTTTCTTGGCGCCAGCAACTCCTTCCGTCATCAAGTAGTAGAAGTATACTTTTTTTCGAGCAATGGCTAGGGCAGCTACAGTATACGCACATTTAGTCTTCAATAACCTCCTTTTTAAACTCCCCCATAGACGTGGAAAACTAGTAGTCCCTATAATACTACGTAGTATTAACAGTATCAAGACATGAAAAAAGAAAAAAATCGAAGGAGCTTTTATAAACTGCCTTAGAACACTAGAGTGACTCTGCTACTTTCTCAACCTTTCTCAAAGCAACAGATTCAAACTTCTCGAGACGGTCTGGGTAGCGCGAGTAGTAGATGTCCAAATACTTCGTATAGTGCTTGTAGTTCGCGTCGGCAGTAGGGTCAAGTCCCTTTTTCATGAGCTTATCGAACTCGAATTTCCTGAAGACATCCTCCGGCGTCAGATCATCCACCAACCACCGATTGTACATCTTGTCCTGCTTCAGAAGCTCTTTAGCCAGTCTCTTCTGTTCCTTTTCATTCAATGCCTTCAGTTTCTGCGCTTGTTTTAGCTGTTGTGCCACTACTTTCTCTTTTGCTTTGGCTTCCTGTTCCTGAACTTTTCGCCGGGCCTTTAGTGCCTTTGATTCCAGCTTTTCCTTAGACTTCTTTAAGGCAGCTTCCAGCTTTGTCGTATCTTTTAGTTGCTTCGCAGAAAGTTTCTCTTGTGGAGTCATTTTTTGCTTGGCTGACCACTTCAGCTTCATGAACGAGAGCTCATTCTTTAGGCCATCCAAGGAGATCCCTCTCTCTTCATTGTTGGTTTCAGCGGTGCGCAGGAACCGGATGCCGTTCTGGTTGTTGCTCGCAAAACTAAGCGTATCTGCCGACGTCAAAAGATGGCACTGGAGGGTGGAGAGGAAGGCTAGTGCTAGCAGTAGAGTCTTGTACGGCCGCATCAAGAGAGGAACGTCGTAGTCGATTGCTCCAGAGTCTTACGTAGTTGAAAGATAAAGGGAAAATGAACTGGAAAGCGATCGTTCGTCTTGTGCGGTCAAGACGAGTGATCGGTGGTGCTCGTTGTTACACGGACCTTGTAGCCACAGGAGATGGCCTATCCTGGACATTATCCGGATAGGCCAGTGATTCCCAGTGCATGTTCCCATCTGCTCGTTTCCCAGAGATTGAACAACATATCGGTTTAATACCGACGGGACATATTTTACAAATGCCAGTGTGCTGTGTGCTACGGGCGTTGTTCTTTTAATAGTGAGTCACGGCCGTGAGATCTGGATGCATGTACATAGAGCTATCGCATCACTTTTCGTCTACTAATCATGGTCATTGCAAATTGCAAAGCAATATCGTTTACGAGTCTAAGTAAAACGTAGCCAGCCGACTGCAAGATGACAAGAAAAGTACAAACTAAACCTGTTAAGTCGCATTTTACCTTTCAAATGCATAGTCTTTCATTTATCATAAGGCAAGCCGAAGTTCCGCCATTCGAAGTCCAATGCGGAAATCTGAAGTACTTGGTGTGATCTCACCCCTACCAAGACCGTCAGATGTAGCATTCTAGTGGTCTAACAAAGTATGGTAATTAGGCTCACCAGTGCATACGAAGAGTATAACTTTGCTGAAGGGGAACTGCAAGCCGGAAAACTCCCCATCGCGTAGTTGACTCCCAGCAGTTCCTTTTGCGCAAGTGTCTGTTGCCAAAAACTGGTGCCTGTAACAGGCTCCAGCAACAGGCAGCCTGTCAGGCTCGGTTGCTGTATCTGCTCCCATCACTGCTCCCTTCAACAATATGGTATTATAGTACGGTGTTTTTCACCATCCAAGACCGTCAAAAGAACACCATACCCTACTGGATGTTTGGTGTCATAGGTAATTAAGTTTTACATGATACACCTCTGACACTAAACAACTGGAGTAGGTAGGGTTTTTTTGGTATTAATTGGCGCTGCTGTCAAAGTTTGACTCAAATCTCGTTGTACGACTACTATTGATAGTCGCACTAATGTTGTTATAATATGGCTCTCTTTACTGTTATAGCGTCAACGCCCCATTTGGCCCAAATGATTGAAGATATTATCCCTATTCGGTAGAGTGTTTGCCCATACCAACACTGAGGGCGTCCATTTATGACTTTTCAAAGCGGTGCAAATCCTCTTTTTCATGGGAACAATTCGCAAGCAGGGAAGGAAAAAGAAATGGATTGGCATAGACACTAGCGCGTTTCGCAGGCATGGGCTACATGCATTTGGCAATCTGTACATAAAAGCCATAACATCTTTTGAACCAAGCGAATTCGGCGTGTGTTCCTCGACCTCGGACTCGAGATCGCCATAATCTCACTCAACTTCTCCATACTGAGTCGGCTGTGGAGGCGTCCAGCACGTCCGTACTGAAGTCCTTCGTGAACGCGTTCAGCTAGCTAGTACTCGAGTTTGGCGTGAACGCGTCCAGCATGTCTATTAGTCGAGTCCACCGGGGACTCAGCCTGCATGTTCGTACTCGATTCTGCCGTGAATCCGATCAGCCTGTCCGTACTCGAACTGGCCTTGAACACAACCAGCTTCTCCATATTCATCGTCGTGAGCCTGTCTAGCTTGTCCGCATTCGAGTTCGCGATCCCGTCTTGCATGTCATCACTCGAGTCGCTGTGAAGAAGTCACCCTGCATTTCTGGAGTTGAGTCCGCAATGGCTAGCGCATCAATACTCCCTCTACATTGTATATTTTCTTTTTATTAGAAGCTTGTTGGCCAAAGTCTTCTTAGCGCTGTACTATCTCAATGCAGCTCACGTTCCTCAGTGTGGTTGCTTAGATAACTTCAATGCGCTCTCTTCAGTGTTACTAAAGTGCTTAAGTCAACTTCGACGTGTGGGTACAAAAAGAAAGCTGCCAAAACGGGTCTTCTTCGTGTTAACGCTGTTATTCTGGACAGATCCGTTGTTGCTGCACCCAAGGTCAGCATAATATAGCCGCCTTCGCCGACAGGTTGAGTACCGATGTCGAGGTCGTCGAACAGAGCCATTGACTCAAAGAAATGCCATCTTAAATGTCGAGCCACTTTAATATAGTCAACCCCTACCGCTCAGTCGTTACGAGAGCGTAATGAACCTTATCTGAACGCATATGTAAACACCAGTCGTGCGCCGGCACCCGCCTGCAAGTGGAATCAGGCATAGCTAGTGTCAGTTTACATTTTAGTAGTCATTTCATTTTGTACATTTCGGCATCGTCACCAGGTAGACAAAGGTGGGGGTGTCGATCACTTACCCGCTTGGCCGCGCTTCACAAGACTCGTCTCGACCGACGGAAGTACGTATAGGATTACAAACTGTAAGCAAGGTCATAGATTTTTAGTGTTAGCTGACCGACTTGTAGCATCCGGATACAATAGGTTTTTACTGGTACAAACTCAACTGAATTTCTTTTACCGAAGTGAAGCTCTAGAATAAATTATCCCCAGGTACTTAATAGTTTTTTCAATATTCTGGAGGGTCTCCATACGTTGCTATAGAGGTCCCCATTTGAAGACTATATAAACTGCCCATTTGTCATCAAAAGAGATTTGACAATACTCCAATTTCCCATGTCTGACGACGCCAGTCACTAGCTTAGTGGCGTTACAGTACATGTACGGATGTGTGTATCCACACATGTACGGTACAGCATCGATAATGACGACAGTACAGCAATCTTACAACACCGACACGGCACCGATTTCAGATCTTGATGATACCCAAATAAACTATGTAAAGGCGCAAAGCAAAAAATGGGTGTATAGACCGGCTATTTCCAGTCCCGGCTGCAGTAACTGGTGTGGTTCTATGCCTACGACTGTAGGCACAGCCTAAGTTCTTGAGCATTATAATATCTGCCGAACCCGAGGGCTTCATCGACAATATCGCCCTCGTCAATGTCATCTACACCGCTCTACTGGTATTTCGCGTAGACGTAACCGTTCAAAAATGCGTGCTAGCTCGCCAGAAGTGGCATGTATGCGATGACATTTGGTGCACGGCTTGACGACCGTACTGCTCTCTATTTGGCTACATACAGTATGCCTTGACATAGGTATTCAGTACATGTAAGCAGGCTTCAAAAATAAATGCAATGTGCACAGAAAATGGGCTCACTGCCTGAACGAGTTTTCATAGATTCCTGTAGAAAAAAGGTATTCACTATGTATTACTTATTCTCCATAATATGGATACTATTATTATTATTATGGAGTATTAATATATATAATGGACGTATCTATCACTTGCACAAAATCTGCAGGCTACATTTTGGGGACCATGAGTTTCGAAGACCACGTTGAATCGTTTGGAAACGTACCAGCCCTACTGTTCGCAGCAGAGAGCTCTTTCTCCCATTTGCTTCAGCTCGTCATGACCAAGTCCCGATCAAAGTGCCCAACTGTAAAAATGTCATCGCCGTTTTATGCAACCGCATAAAGTGTGCGCTGGAAGAACGCGATGCGTGGGCAACCACACTACGAGACTGATCTGTGGGCCTGACCGCTGTTAATAGCTGCAGGTACAAACGATCGTGTGGTTCACGCTATGGTTGTGTCTGTGATAGCGTCGCTATCGGTAAATTCTGTAAATCATTTTGAGTGTCAGTTGAAGCCACCCACGCACGACATTATAGCTTCAATTAGCGCAAGAAATCTACTAAACCTACGGTTTTCAGAGCCTTCCGGCGTGATAATCTGCCACAGCGTCTTCAGTCCCAACACCCTCAACATTGGAGTGAATATAACACACTGCTCGTCGACAGCTTCGGACAAATATCTTCGTTCAGAACTATCAAACCTTTTCAATTTCGCGTATCATACTGAAAGCCATTTTTAGCGGGTTCAAATGCATGAAGAACAAATTAAGATAACTGCTGTCCGACTTGCATTACATTTGTAGAGGAGGACCTTTACGCAGGGTATTATCACTGAATGACTTCGTTTAACTGCGATCGATTTTCTTAACGTTTTCAAACGGCCTTTATTTACCTTCATACAGGCTTCAGGCATAAATGCCTGAATTTTTGAGAATTGGTACTATATCGTTGACAGGTACAGGTGCTGTAAAACACAATTGCGCTAGATTAGTTTGTTCTTGATCGATGGAGGTGCTCAACCCTGTAGCACCATAGGAATGCTGTAGTGCGGTGACACCGAGCATATGGGTTCTATTTACAACGAGATGATATTACTTAAGTGCTATATTACCTACGGTAATTAGTCTGACTGAGACTATTTTGTGTGGGTGGTTTTTGTTTTCGTTTACAAATTAGTCTGACTCAGATTATTTACTGGCTGAGACTATTTATGAACTCAAAATTACGTGCTCCAAAAATGGAGAGCTCGCGGGGACTCGAACCACCAGCATCCATCGTGGCTAGTCGTGACACAAACGACTGAGCTAAATCAACCAGCTATGTAATATTAACCTTTGGATTAATCATGTTTAGGTCTGCTTCACATTCACAGGCTCACCTTCAAAGTGCGCGCGGTGCTTCCCAATGATATCTTGAAGATGCGGGTAAAGTTGCTTAACAGATCAAGTCCATCGATTCCGAGCGACAAACCACAACGTACCATTACCTTACGTGCGTAAGACACACCATTCTTGTCCTTTTGGTGATTGACGGCTTTTTGACCACCTCGGCAGGAGGTTGCAAGAAAAACTTTTTTCTGGGTTTTGAAGCTTTCCTGACCACGCACCATCCTTCTTAATCTTATTTTGCCAACAACTCGCTTTGGTCAATTCCGTCTTCTTTTCGTTCCACTTGACCTTCCATGCGTCCTTTATCTTAGAGATTACGAACGAGTCCGCTGGTTGGCAGAGGTCTGTAGGTGGGAAATACTTGAGATTGGAATTGATAGCGTCAAGTTCAGCGCAGTATTCATCCGCACCCAGATGTGTCTAGATAAATAGTTTTTTTTTCGCCCGTACACGTCTCCACGCATCGCTCACCTCTCTTTCAGATACTTTCGAAAAAGCTTTGTGTTATCCTCCCCTTTCTGCATGGCCGATAGCCTACACCAGGGATGCTGTCAGGAACACCGAATAGGATAATTCCCTCAGAGTTCAGAAAAAGCATATTTGGGAGGGTGAGGGGTATACACGCGCGCTTGGGCCTCCGGATAGACGGACGACCATTGCCATTCCTTCATCTCCAGATACGACGTCGGCATACTTGACAGTCTTGTCGCCAGAAGAGCCAAGCGTCTTGCCGTTGTCAAAGTCTACGATGAAGTGGGTTTCGTCAATATTCTCAATTTCATTTTCGTCGAGCGATCCGTCGGCAAAACCTCGCTGCAACTCGCCAAGATGGAATGCCACATCTTTCTCGATGTGCAAGATTTTTGCCTCACTGAGTTGTTTAGGCCCTGATAACCATTCGATGCGCTTCCATGAACGATTGAACCCACCGTGGAGTGATCGTTTTAATGATCAGGGCGCCTCTAGAGTCAACACTCCTGGCATTGTAGGTATTTGTGCTGTCTCGGAGGATCTGTTTTGCAAGTTGTAGCAGCAACGTCGGTTCAAATTTCACACCGAGCTTTCGGCGTCTATCAAACTCGTCTAGAAGCAGTGGGTATAGCCACTTTACACAGACGCTCCTAGGTCTCCCTCGTTCATCACTGACTTTAGTGCTGACACGCTGTCTTCCTCCTCGCCGACGGGCGGCAATGGGGACCGAGCCACGCTCTGCCTTTAGAATACGATCTCGTTTTTTCACCAATCTAGTGCTTTGGCCAAGTTAGCTGCTCGGGTAGCCGAGTTAAAGATATCAGGGAATTTATCCACAGAGTTAGCAAACATGCCTTTGTTCCCGTAGCTCACCTCGTACTCTTTCATCCAGCGTACAACTTTTCAGCGATGGGCGATACTACTCGTGGACTGTGTGTGGCGCAACAGTTGGCGTGGCTGCGAATATAGGCTTCGTGTGGGGTCGGGCTCAACGTCCGAGTCACCGTCCGACAGCGCGGTGGTATTTCTGTTATAGTATCCGTATATGCACGAACGACATGAACAAAATAAAACTCTATCAGCACCATGACTTTGATCTACTTGAGGCCATCGCTGAGTAGTCCGTATTTCATTCCTGGCTCATCATTACTACACAGGAGTCTGTTGATAGCATCCATTACAATGCGGCCGGCGTCCTCTCACCCCGCTATGACAGCAAGTTCCTTCTTCTGTACCCTTCTCAAACGTCGCCAGATCGTCTGTAGCAGGAAGCACTGTGGCGAAGCTGAGAGCACAGCGATCAATCCACAGCACAGCTTCTATACGCACACACACCCGCACCAAAAAGCGTCGCCCTCGTTGACCTCGCCCTTGCCGCACTGACAGTATCTTAACTAAACCCCCGCCTCGAATCGATACTGTGGATAGAAGAATTAACGGTGCCTTTAGTATATCAGATTTGCATGCCGTATCATTTAGTGATACATCCGATTAGAAAGGGCATTAATAGAAGGGTGGACTCTCTCACCCGCGTATTTGGCTGCGAGCAGTTGGTCGGGGCGACCAGCATTTTGCTTTCTCCTCGCCACCCCCCAGGCCGTCTTTCTGCCTCCCTCTCCATCCACAAGAACCAGCGTGAAATACGGGGAGCATTCGTTGGTCTAGCTCGACGACCATGATCTCAGTGATACGCAAGAACGATCAGCACGCGGGAGGAGAGAAGCAAGCCAAGCTGGAAGAGCAGCTCCCACAGCTACTCATCAATAGTGTGGCCCTTCAAGCCAACAACCAAGCGCAGCGCCCGCCTCCAGACGAGCCCAAACCTCGCGTTCCAGCCTTAGTCAAGCCCTGCTTAATCGTATCGAAGGCCTGCTGACACTCAGCAGTCCAAATCCACTCAGCTTTCTTCTTAAGAAGCTGCGACAACGGGCGAATCTTGCCTGCATACTTCTCATCGCATACACACCTCTACATCACAAACCCAACGAACTGCCTTGGTTCCTTGATGTTGGATGGCGTAGGCCATTCTTTGATCATCCTGATCTTCTCTGGGCCAGGGTATACACCATTTTACACCCAAAAAAGGGTATCGCGCTCGCCCCGAAGATACATTGCCTTATAATGAGCTACTCTCAAATCAAAACGTTTGGTGCTTACTGCCGTGAGATGGATGTCCCTCTCACACATGAGGATCTGATAGAACCCGTCGCGCAGATCAAGAGCACCAAAGAAGGTGCTCTTGACCATCGAATCGATGATAACATCTTTTCGTGGTATCAGCGTCTGCGCTGGTATCGTCGCATCGTTCTCTTGTTATGCGCATCAACGATGCGGTATCCGCCCTGTGGCTTCTTGACTCAGAACGTTGGTGCACTGTGCGCGGACTTTGATTCCCGCACTTGTCCTGCCTTTCGGCGGCTTTCAAAGGAGTCGCCGATAGCCTTTACTTGATCGACTACCGCCGCGTCACATAGTACTTCGTACCCGGCACGAGATCAATATCGTGCTGTATGCCCTTGTCTTGCGGAAGTTCCGCAAAAATTGCAGCCAGAAGCACATCCTTGTGCTCCAGCTGAACATCGCAGAAGGGAGTCGACTTCAGAGAATCCCAGCTCTGCTTTTCGAAGCGCTTCTTAGTTTTCGCACTGAGAGTGTCCTAACTCCCAGTGATACTCGCACTGTGGAGTTCCTTTAATTCCATCGAACAGGTCCAGCTCATTGCTGGAAGCGACGTCAACTCCAACGCTAGCGTTGGAGGATTCTCCAATTGCATTGACCGGAACTGATGTTCAGTACTGGTCCGCGTCAAGACGTCTAGACGCTCGACGTCTTCTCCGAGGTGTGCCGGGTAGACATTTCTCGTAGCGTCTTGGTCCCAGACCTAGACTTGCGCCGTCTTTTCTTCTTGCAGCCGCCAGCATCACTTGCCGCATCACCAACCCGTAAGTTGGCCACGGCTAGATCCAAGACGATATGGTCGTCAGCAAACACCCGGTATTTGTGCGAAAAGCGTACAACGCACTTCTCAGTCCTCATGGTGGCACCAGTTGTCAACCAAACTTCTAAAACACTTCGAGGTGTTTCAACCTCGAAGTTCAGCTTCGATAGACTTTCCAGTCGAACACAGTTGTTCGACGCACCTGAGTCTATCAAAGCACAAAGAAAGCCCGCCCACTTCGACCTCAGGATGGCATGGTTTGGCTTGTCATCGTGCTTCGCACAGCGAGAGCGTCTCTCGTTGGGGGCTAAAAGGCCGAAGCATTCGATAGGTCCACTGGTTTTGGGCCTTGCGTTCTCACCACTGAACATGCCATCCTCGACACGTTCGTATGCAGCTTAGCCTTCTTCAAGTTAAACTCCTCTTGCATTGCAAGAGTGTTTGCAGTCTCGAGGGTAATTGGGTAATCTCGGAAGAGATAGGTCTTGACAGGCCCATCCTTCAAGCTTTCCATGAACGTGACGACCTTAGTCGCTTCGTCAATCTAATTGGTCACGATGTTCGAGGCCAAGTTCCGTGCACGTTGGGCGTAAGCATGAACGTCATGCTTATCTTGCGTTCTACACGCGTGTTTGCTGCCATTCCAAACCTTTTTCTTTCATGTCCACATTCTATTTCGCGGCGCTAGACCTTTTATTTCGGAATAGGGACACTATCACTTAGTGTACAATGTTTGCACTTCCAGTTAGCGTTGCCGAGATGTTCTCGCAGTTCTCGCACACAGTATTTTATGCCCTGCAGCACCGGCAGCAGCGGAAGTGGCGTTTTTAATAGCGCTGGTTTGGGTAGGGCTCAGGGTGTTCCGTGTACTTAGGTGGTAGGATCGTAACTTGCTCAACTTGATCTTCTCGATGCTTAGACCGTTGTAAGCACTGTCTCGGCGACGAAGCATCAAGAGTGCACAAATAGAGTCAGGTCTATGCAGAGCCAAGACAGTCTCGAGCAGTACGTAGTGCCAGCCGACGAGAACGCACATCGATACAGTACCGCTGGTACTTCACTAATAACGAGTTGGGACAGACTCCGTTACGCCAGTCAATTGAAGATTTGACGACAGGAGCTACAATATTTCGACCTCCTGTGGCTTCTGGGCTTGCTGACAGGTCCAGAGTGTTGACACCATTGGTGAAGAACGTGGAGGGGAATATGAGGCAATTGCAAAAAGTAGCTCGACTATAATGTTATTTAGGTTACAATTGCATAACAGCTAAATCTAGTTCACGGACATTTATTGCTCGCAGCTCTACCCCAGAGTTATTTGTGCACTGACTGAAGTGTAGCCAGGCGCTGTGGTGATTCCAGCGCTACATGCGCTATGAAATTAGAATGACCATTCAGTAAGACTCGTTTATGCATGTTTGCGTTCTAATCTCCTCCACATTGTTGTATTGGTCGGATCCGTACGTGTTTTGTTGTGTTTTCTCTGCAACGCAAGCTGGCATGTTTGGCGACAAAGTTTGTGGCAACACCCATACACAACTGATATTACAATTTGCTGTGCCACTCATATATTATTAAGGAAATCCGAATTTACTCGGCCTCTGCCAAACTTTGTGCCATTTACTCTACTTCTACCACAACTCGCTCGTTTCACTAAGCGCTTATTCACCGTTTCGTTGGGGACTGCAGAGATTTCTAGGATACCACTCAGGGATTTCATCTATAAATGGCTATATTTTCGCTCACGTGGCCCAACAAGTCTATATACAGTGTACGAAGAATGCATGTACATATGTCAGAGTGTTTTTCGTAAATCAGGTCAAGTTTGTGATGCAACAGATATTGCAAGCTTGACCTGATTTATGTGGATGGAGCGGGCCCCAAACCGAACTACTAACAAATAACAGGCTCATTCTATAAAAAAAAAATGTGATTCTGGTTGCGTAGAATTCTACAAGATTTAGGTCGCCACATACCAACGATAATCAGTGCATTTCCGCAGGTAACTTACTAGATATATTTGGCGAATCAAGCCTTTAGTGATTTCTGCGATTGCTTGCGTGTTTTCCGCAATGTTAAACGTCAAAAAAAAAACTTGTAGATTTAAGGTTTTACAAGTCAATTGTGACAACAGGTTGTGGTTTGCATAGACCTCTATGCTATGCATCCGCGGACCCACCGGCCCGCAAGCCATGCTGTCCTCCAGAATATCTATTTTAGTCATGACACAACGTTGAAAATGCCTCCTTTGGTATGTGTGTGTGTGCTTGTGTTCAAAACGGTGCATTGTTTAAAGCTGAAAACTTATACTAGAATATCTGGAAGCAATCCATAAAATGTTAATTTGTTGGAGCCGATATCTGAAACCGACAACCCCAAGCTGGAAAACAAAGCTAGGCGGAAAATCAAGTTAATCGTCAAATGACGAAATCTGCCTGTCAACTATGATCCGTCAATCATGCCCCCGTCATTTGCTTAGCAGGGCGTGTTATACAATCCAATAGTCTATCAACACCAGAAAATCGAATTTGGACCCATCAACTCCTCAGTGGATTTAAAGCTGCAATCTATAAATGCAAAGTTCAAATACTCGTAATCCATTCGACAAAGTCATGAAAGCTTGAAGATACTCTGAAATTTAGCTAACAAATTATGCATATCTGTCTGAGAATTATATAACCCCTCCAAACCGGGAGCTGCAAAGAACTTGTAAACTGCATATGCAGCACAATTATGCTTGATGTTTGTATATAAACATGGTTAGGGAAAATAGGATTCACGATGCGTTGCAACACAGACGTGCTAATCTAGCATATAAGCTGCATATTCCAATCAGATTTGCCCCTCAAAACTGCAGAATGCGTAAAGTGACAGGGCACCCGCGGAACAAAACCGCGAGCACTGAATCTCTCTTTTTCTGAAATTTAGACATCAAAACTTCCCCATACTA